AAGTGAAAATGTGTCTCGGTGTCGTCGTTCCGTAGCATCGGGTGGGCGTTGCGTGTATTTAAGCTCCCGCGGCATGACGTCTCAATCCGGGTTACGGGTAGTGGAATTTCCGCTTACGTAAGTTCCGGTAACATGTAATATCGTAGTCAAAATGTTAATGCACAGGGTTTTGTTCCGGGTGAAGGATATTCCTTTTCATAGAATTCCGGGGATGGGAATATTTACTGTAATGGATTTGACTGTTCAGTATTATAAATTTAGCTGCTTTTACTCTGTATGTCCCAATTTTCAATTGAATGCATCTTTTTTTTTTTTTTTTTTGGTACACTTTGACATTATGGCCGTGTTTGCAATGACGACACAAGTGAAACAAATTTAAATCACTAACTCCACAAGAGCCATTCACAATAGAGGTAAAGAAATACATACCATGAACAAATACAAAACAGTATGCATTAGCATATAGTTGGTCTCCGCTGACTCTTCTCCTGTTGGTTTAAATGTGGGTCATGTTGGCATTTCTCCACTGGCCACTGTTGGCAATTATTTTGCTTAGGGAATGAGCGCCACATCTCTCATGTACCTTAATTTGAGTACATTTAATTGTCTAGACTTAAGATGTAGTTTACAGTTGGTGAATAGACCTTATCAATTTGTGTGTCAATGACGTCAGGCTTCCATTGACTGTGTACCTGAGTGCTGTGCTCATGAGGGCTTGCAATAAAGCGGAGGAACTGTTTCTTTTTAATAAACAGGTGTTTCTGGAAACTCAAAGTCTTTGCTCCGTTGGCTGTCCGGTGACACATGTCCAGGGCTAGTTTCCTCCTCGGCTCACACCACCACATGTTAGTTTGTGCCACTTGAGAGCAAAGATTTATTTATTTTTTTTAACTTGAACCATACGCAGTAAATCCAGCCATACATGCGGGCCAGATAAATTGCGCATTCGGGAACGGGAATGACCGATTGCGTACTGAGAGCGAGTTGACTTCACATGGATCTTTTTGAACCTAACAAGATGCTGAACGCTAGCCTCTTTGTCCTCAACAACAGATGACCGCGCCCGTCTTGAGGAGCGGCGGCGTAATGAGCTCTATCGACAGTACTATGAAGAACTGCAGCGCCGACACGACACCGAACGCCCTGTTGACTGCTCTGTGATCGTCGTCAACAAGGCACAGAAGTAAGGCCGCGCTCTCTTCCTCTGAAAACATCAATTCCAAGTCAAGAAGTTCGAGCACTAGTCTATTCGTGTTTTTTCAATTCCTGTGTGCGTGGGTTTGTTTAACCCACAGCAGGGAGTATGCTGAGACGGTCGGGCGCAAAGTCCATGACTTGGGCATGGTAGTGGACCTCATCTTCCTCAACACCGAGGTGTCCCTGACTCAGGCGCTGGAGGATGTGGGCCGCGCTCGCACTCCGTTTGCCATCATCATTACCCAGCAGCATCAGGTGCACCGATCCTGCACGGTCAACATCCTGTTTGGCACGCCTCAAGGTAACTTAACTATGCTATATTTAGTAACATGCCCTATACACAAATTTCAATGCAGAAGAGACTTTATATGCTGTTATCTAGTATCCAGAGATTTATGACGATCCCAACATGCCCTCACCGGCCACTTTATTAGGTACACCAGTACAACTGCTCGTCAACACTTACTTTCTAATCAGCCAATCACATGGCGGCAACTCGGTGCATTTAGGCATGTAGACATGGTCAAGACAATCTCCTGCAGTTCAAACCGAGCATCAGTATGGGGAAGAAAGGTGATTTGAGTGGCTTTGAACATGGCATGGTTGTTGGTGCCAGAAGGGCTGGTCTGAGTATTTCAGAAACTGCTTATCTACTGGGATTTTCACGCACAACCATCTCTAGGGTTTACAGAGAATGGTCCGAAAAAGAAAAAATATCCAGTGAGCGGCAGTTCTGTGGGCGGAAATGCCTTGTTGATGCCAGATGTCAGAGGAGAAAGGCCAGACTGGTTCGAGCTGATAGAAAGGCAACAGTGACTCAAATAACCACCCATTACAACCAAGGTAGGCAGAAGAGCATCTCTGAACGCCACAGTACGTCGATGGGCTACAGCAGCAGAAGACCACGCCGGGTGCCACTCCTTTCAGCTAAGAACAGGAAACTGAGGCTACAATTTGCACAAGCTCATCGAAATTGGACAATAGAAGATTGGAAAACGTTGCCTGGTCTGATGAATCTCGATTTCTGCTGCGACATTCGGATGGTAGGGTTAGAATTTGCGTCGACAACATGAAAGCATGGATCTATCCTGTCTTGTATCAACGGTTCAGGTTGGTGGTGGTGGTGTAATGGTGTGGGGAATATTTTCTTGGCCCTCTTTGGGCCCCTTGGTGCCAATTGAGCTTCGTTGCAACGCCACAGCCTACCTGAGTATTGTTGCTGACCATGTCCATCCCTTTATGACCACAATGTACCCAACTTCTGATGGCTGCTTTCAGCAGGATAATGCGCTATGTCATAAAGCTAGAAATCATCAGACTGGTTGACATGACAACGAGTTCACTGTACTCAAATGGCCTCCACAGTCACCAGATCTCAATCCAATAGAGCATCTTTGGGATGTGGTGGAACGGGAGATTCGCATCATGGATGTGCAGCCGACAAATCTGCGCCAACTGTGTGATGCCATCATGTCAATGTGGACTAAACTCTGAGGAATGCTTCCAGCACCTTGTTGAATCCATGCCACGAAGAATTGAGGCAGTTCTGAAGGCAAAGGTCCAACCCGTTACTAGCATGGTGTACCTAATAAAGTGGTCGGTGAGTGTAGTGTGCAAAGATGTGCTCAGGTACCACTGAACTGTTTTTTTTTTTTTTTTAATTATAAATGGTTAATGCAGTACATGTTTTTCAATAATAATCAACGTAATTTTGACTTTCCTACTGCGTCAGTGTAATTTATTCAGAGACTGTGGCATGTTTCAACTTGCATAAAAATTTGAGCTCTCACCGTCGCAGGAACGGAAGTTTGAAAGATACACGCGGAACCACTGCATTTCGAATTTCAAGTTGGAAGCCCAAAGAATTTTTTCCCTTCACAGATGGGCAATTGTAATTGAGAAATATTATGGTACATTTACCAATTTCTCCCATTGACCGCATTCACAAGAACCACTTTTCACTTGTACCTGTTACATACTGAAACAGCCTTGCTCCACAATTAGTGGTCACTTTTCAATTACACTTTTTTGGGGCTGTGCGGTTACAATGGAACCACTTATTCAAAAACTCTTAACGGAGTGGTTCTAAAATGCTGGCCGAGTGGGCCCATGACATCACTGTCATCTTATTGGCTGTCAGATGTCGGTTTCAGCAATGCAACAAGCAACTCCACTGCACACTTCCATTCCCTGGTTTTAAGTCAGCGAGATAGAGCTGACCGCCAGCCATCGCCAAATTATAAAAATACACTATAAACAGTATGCACAGTTGTTTTACAACAATACGTATTACCGTATTTACAATTTTATATGCTCATGTAGCAATGGATGAAATCGTAAATGAGAGCTTCAGCAGTTACTCGGCCTGACGGTCATGGTCCCTGGCCTCGGGGCGCTGTGTGCTGGGTAGGGGGGAGTCTTGGGGCATCTGCCGCAGGGCTTTGGACACCAAAGGGTGATGACGAGGGCTGTGCGATATGACCAAAGTTTCATATCTTGATATTTTTGCCAGATCGCTGGATATCAATACAATAATTATATTACCATGGGTTATGTAAAAATTTTATTTATTTATTGTATTTTTTTCATGAAAAAAATACTAAATGACAATCAAAAAGGATGTGGAAAGTGTAGTTTTATTTTTACTCAGAATTTAACATTAACATCAACATTAATTGTCACAAACAAATTTACTGCAACGGTGCTGTGACAAGAGACAATTTTATGCTAGAACAGAGCTATTTGTTGTGTTTGCGTGCACGCATTAACTGCATGTTATGTACCAATTTGTCCATGCGCATCCCTAGTAAGTATAACAGCTTTAGAAGATTCTTCGATGACATTCATCTTGTCTATAGTTAATTTAAGGACTGGGTTTCTTTTTTTGGGTGGGCGGGGGGTAAAAAGAAAAACTCTTACCTGACTGACAGTTTCGGCTGTTGCTTCATTAACGTGTTGTGTGGCTTGGGGAAAAAAGTTAACCACTCAAACCCCACACGTGGCTTAGTATGTGTTACATGGCAATGTGATGTGGACTCCCAGGAATATGAACTTCTTCAGCTTGAATCGAATTTTGATGCTCCCCATAAAATATGTTGCATTGTATGATTTTTTTTTTTTTTTTTTTTTTTTAAACCCAGAAAGGCAATGGCAGTCAACAAAGACTTGCGTTGCTACAGAAAAAGGATGTGGGCGATAACCTTGAATAATGTGTGGATATATTGAAATAGGAGATCTTGGTGATGAAGTGCTGCCTCCATGAGTGAAATTACAATCCATTTTACTGTCTTGATGGGAGCTGACAGAGTACTCAACAAGTAGCACCGTACCCCAAAACTCCATCCCTCATCTCCAATTTATGGTAGCAGTTTACTTTTTGAAATACCCGTCTGGAGGATTGAGCATTCTCTCATTTGCACGAGACAGGACCACACTGTAAATCCCGGCAGATTCCAGCGAGGAAAGAATATAAGGCTGTGAAGTGCGACATTTTTTTTATCCTTTGGGTATTTTTTCAATAAGCATATCAGACATGGTATTTAAACGCCTCATAATTGTTTTAAATTGCTGGGAGGAAAAAAAAGCATGGCTGTCTTAACCGTTCACAGAGCACCGGAACATGCCGATGCAGGACGCCATGATGCTGATCGGCCACAATTATGACGCCTACAAGATGGAGACCCGCGAGAAGGATCGCGAGGAGATCGCCCGCAAGGCTGCCAAAATGGCAGATGACGTGCTGCTCCGTGAGCCTGACCGCGAGAGCCACCCCGTCTCCGTGCTAACGTCCATCACGCTGCTCACAGAGAACAGGTAAGAAAACGTTGACAACTCATCTGAGTCACCTATTGTGCTGATTCCCAACCACTCTACAGCGGAACATAAGTCTGCCATGAGGGATTATCAAGTGTGTCGCAAGAAATTTCACTTCATTGATTGAAAAATTATTGAATAAAATGTACTCTACCCCACCTAGGAACAAATTGTTACAATAGGCTGGTTGTCCCTTGAATTGTTGGTAAATTTTGAAAATTATTTTTCGATTGTTCCTATGTACTCGTGAACGCCTTGTATACTTTTAAGAGGGCTGTTGGTATCTGCATTGGGAGAGAAGCAGAAGTGTACTTGAACGTTGGCTGCCAATAAAACATCATCTCACATGCAGACTAAAATAAACACTGTTGAATAAATTAAACTTAACACCACCATCCAGAGTCCTCCAGATGGTGCCAAAGAGGTAGCACAAAAAAATTGCAAAATGTGATGGTTCACAGGTCTACTTTTTTTTGGGTGGGGGGGGGGGCGTTTTTGTATGGTGATCTGTCCTGAGGTTTGTTTTCCCAAATCTTAAGTATGGGTGTACCACAGGTCAATAATTGTTGGCACACTTGGGTTTGTTGTCGCTTGGTAGGTTTTTGACGCCCGAGGAACTGGAAGGTCTGATTGTGTACCTCACTGACAAACGGGCGCGGCTGACAAGAAATCCAGCGGACCCTCACACAGGTACAACTCATCATTCTTCATGCCGTCAAAATGGACAACGGGGTCACACTAACATGTTAACCTCTCTCTTTGGACAGCTGTGGCCCTTCCCGCCACTGCTGAGGCGCAACCCTCGGCCACAGGACTGCCTGTGGTGGGTGCGATGGGTGTGGCGCCGGCGGCGGTATTGCCTCCTGGGTTTTCTGCCCGCCCAATGCCACAACCGGCCAGCCACATGGCACCGCACTCTGGCCTCATGGCGCCCCAGCCTGGTCTAATGGCACCACAGCAGTCTAGCCACATGGCGGTTCAGTCCAACCCCATGGCGGTTCAGTCCAACCCCATGGCCGTTCAGTCCAACCCCATGGCAGTTCAGTCCAATCCCATGGCCGTTCAGACCAACCCCATGTCCGTGCAGTCCAGCCCCATGGCGGCGCAATCGGCCCACATGGCACCACTGTCGACTCCTCTCAGCACGCAGACCAACCCCAACCAGGAGCTCCAGGCCAAGATCCTCAGTCTTTTTAAAAACAACTCGAGCTTGCAGGGAAGCGCTTCAGGCTCCTCCTCTACTACCGCCGTCCAGTCCCAGGACTACAGTTCGGTGCGCCCCGGTGGGGCGGCAGCTCAGGGCTACGGCGCCCCCATGGGGCGCAACGCCTCTGCCGCCGCCTCTGCAGGTGGTCTGAGAGCCGCCAACTCTACCGGTGGTATCAATTTTGATAACCCGAGTGTCCAGAAAGCTCTGGACACTCTCATCCAGAGTGGACCGGCTCTCAACCACCTGATGAACTCCGGCACCCTGCCAACTCAACAACAACAGCAGCAGTCACAACAACAACAGCAGCAGCAGCCACAACAACAACAACAAATGCAACACCAGTCCCAATTGCACCTCCAACAACAACAACAGCAGCAGCTTCCACCAGTTAGACCAGCAGCCAACATGGGCCAGATGACACAAATGTACCCTCGACATTACTGAGTAATAGGAAACGTTATAGACATGTTTTGTAAACGATTTTAACCTTTGTTGTTGTTGTTATTTTTTTTATCTTTGTGAAAATTTACATCCCATGCTTGTGAGGTCAATGTTCTGTTGGTTTTAGGACAATTCTGCGGTCTTCTCCCAGCACGTGAATGTTTCAGTTCAAAGACTGCTCTTTCTCCTTTTTATGTATTCATTCAAAAAAATGTCACCACACAACTGCTGTAATAAAATGGTATTGGTTTATTGCATTTTGTGCTGACAAATCTATAAAATAGAATGAGTATCATAGCCAGAAGCCATAGAGAGAAGCATTTGAAATGTAAGATAAAACTACTCTTTCCTTTTTTTTTTTTAAATGTACCATGAAACACAATAGAGATTACATGTTGACTTTTTTCCAATTTTTTTCAAACCGTAGAATATTTAACTTCCACGAACACAGAAAATAAACATTTCCACACTCACTGTATTTAATTTATTTACATGTAGCCCACCCTCTCACCACCACCAGCCCCCTCCCCCTAGCACATGTGCAAAACACACCCCACGAAACCGAAAGGAACAATACCACACAATGACCGGTTCTCAATGGCAAAACTCTTTCGTCGCTGTGACTTGTGTGTTTGCAATACATAACCTACACTACATTTCAGGCATCCATATAGTGTTTCCCATGACTCCAGTGAATTAAAAACAAGGTCGGCATTATTGGCATGTACCAAAGCTGCCAACATTTTAAATATAAAAACAAGATTCAGAAAGTTAGCATTAATGCTCTTTGCATTTTTTTTATTCGTATGGCAAAGATGAGAGATATTAAGCACAGCATACCTTTGACCTTTTAGTGTTAACAACAAAATGCTGATCCTGTCTCGATCAGTGGAGTCATCTCAATAAATGGATACATTTCAGTAGTTCTATTTCAAAAGTAAAATGAGGTCAGAGAAATATATGCGGACTTTGTATAATTAAACAATTGTTACAGCTTAGAGCTTCTCAAGAAATTACCTACATTTTGGAAATACAACATTTTGTAGAGAAAGAAAGCAGGGATTGGCTGTTTGAAACCTATTTAAATGAATTATCTAGCGTACGGGTTTAACTTCTTGAATTGAGTTTCTGAAAATATCCACAATATTCTTAACTGTTCAAATCATAAAATTGGCTTTTCTAGCTACTTTGGCTCTTTATTCAACTTTTGGTTGCATTTTTTTTCACCCCAAAAAATATTTGCATCTAATTCACTGGAGCACATATTTGCACAATGTCATGTTTTATTTGATATATATATATATATATATATATATATATATATATAGTTTGCTATATATATATATTTATTTATTTATATGAATGTATATATAGTTAACATAAATATACTTTGGTTGTTATTTTCTCCAGACAATACATGAAAAATAGAATCTTGTACTCTACTATAGTTATAGTCGTCATTTGGAAACACTTCTAAAAGAATAGCGAGGGGACGTGGGAAATACAGAGTCGTGCGACCGGAAAAAGGAAAAAAAAACACGAGAGCATAAACACTCAAATATATAATTGTCATGTTCATACATGCATGCACACAATGTTTACACTGTGACTGGAGAGCGGCTCTGCTCGCAGCACTTGGGCAGCTGCAATTTTTTTTCTTTTTGTAATGTACTTTGGTGATGAGATTGGGGGTGACCTCCCTGCCACAATGTAAGGTGTGTTGTTTTTGTGGTGTTTTGCTCCTCTACCTGCTCACTCATATTTAGTCAGAGCCCTTGACATCCATTTAAGGACGGAGACTTGAGGAATGATCACCGGCAGCCTTTTTGTCTCATGCTACAGTTTGTTGCTTGGGGTGGAATCGTGGGAGGTGTCGGGAGGGTGTGTGTGTGTGTGTGTGTGCGCGCGCGCGCGCGTGTGTGTGCGTGTGCGCGTGCGTGAGTGTAGATGCTGGATCCCAAATGAACTCGTTTTGGTGGTGTCCAAGCAGAGCCGCTCCCAGCGTTGGAAGCGCAAGTTTTATATTCTTTGATCACCTTTTGGGAATGATACTGCAGTCACATTTAAAATACAGAGCTGGACAGGATGAGGAGCAGGAGGAAGAGGAGGGAGGCAGGAGTAGAATGAAGGACTTTGTGGGATGATTGATGAACATTTTTGAGCACGACAAACTCAGTAAGTTAGGAAATCTTGTATTTTGGCGAGAGAGAGAGAAAAATGGCCAGAACATGCAAGATTTTTTCAAAATAACTCAAAATAAATTTGCCAAAGTGAGCAGGTAGTACTTGCAGCTTGGTGCCAAGCAGTTTTTGTGGGGATGGTGTAGGATGAACGGCGGCTGATGGCGTGACACTCCAATTAAAAACATTTTAATCACCACATCGTGTTTTTTTTTCCAAAAGGTAAATAAAATGTATTTGTCATATCACAAACAAAATGATTGTTTGGGGATACATGCTTTTGATTGGACAACGACATGCATCGCAAACTGAGAAAACATATCCAAAATGAATTGAAAACACATTTCATGAATTTTATCCAAAATGTTGACAAAAATATTTTTCCTGACTAAATTTGGAGATGCATGCTTTGCTTCGGACAGTAACACTCTAAGGTGTCAAGGCAATGGCGTTTTGTCCAATCAAAAGGATGTATGTTGCATGTTCCCCACACCGCCACCCCCCAAAAAATGTCGGCCCTTTTGTGTTTTAGCTCATAAAAGTGGAGCTGGAGGACATACAATTTTCCAAATGAAAAGCACAGAATGCACTTTTTTTTAATCCCAAACACAACGACAAAAAAGTATTTGATCAAAAGACAAAACAGGTTTTCCAATGAAAAGCTTGTTTAACCAAAGTTTGTTCTAAGATTTTTACCCAATACCCCCCAAAACAAATTCTGCTTTCTGGATACAAAACTCCAAATTTGGAGTCCGAGAGATAGAAAAAGACAATATTTGGACATATCATCATACCTCAAAAATGATGTTTTTTTTCAAAAGATTTTATCTGAAGACCCAACAAAGAAAGCAATTTTCTCTTTTGAGGGAGAGAAGACATTTGGAGATGCATGCTTTTCATTGGTCAGCAAAAAGAAATGGTTTGACAGATGAACATTTGCTCTATATATTTTTTCATCCTTAACTAAACCGAAAAATATTCTTTTGCATTTTAATAAGAAAACAGAAGATGCTTTTTGCTGGACAGTGGCGTTCACATCTGCACTGCACTCTGACACCACAAAAGGTCATGACAGTGCTCAAGGTGAGCGCTTTGGATGCGGCTGACTGACAATTTGGACGAAAATAAGCAAACGAAGTAGAGCTTGGATAGAAAAAAAACAAAAGCTAAACAAAACGCGAAATAATATTGCACATCATCTTACAAAACTCCAAACTTGAGTCCACAGTGATTGAACAGTGTACAAGAAAAGACAACACTAGTAAGTTACAGTGTCTGTAGTGATTCATTCATATGTACATATGACCAGCCCGAGGCCTCGAACAACAAAATCAACTTTTTCACAATACTACTTAAAGCAAAATATAGAACAAGTAACAGTAAAGAGAACTGTTCTTTTTTCCTTTTTTTTTTTTTTTTTGCAAAAGACCTATCAAGATCATCATTTGGCAGCCCGGCACCCACCCTCCCTCTCCATTGTCTTTAGCGCGCATCGTCACTTTAAAAGAAAAACATGAAAACAAATATCGCCACACGATACCATGCAAACGGCAAGTATAAAACATATATATA